TTTAATTATTATCTTTAATAAGTGAAAGTGTAAGTCATTTCTTTTACAACAAAGAGTCAAGTTCATTTTGGCTAGTATATCCCGCAAAGAGTACCTGAATTTAGATATAAGTTGAAAAGAAAAGTCTTAACGTTATTAAAATATTTTAATGGTATTTGGAATGTCTTGTCCAATCTGATTTTTATTGTCATTTCATCTTTAATTTTTTTATTTGTCTATATTTTAAGGAATTATAAAATCGAGCAGTACGTACAATGGAAGATATAATGACTATAATTATCATTGTTCTATACCCCATTTTAATAATGAGTTTAACATATAACTCAATAATTGAATAAAAATGTTGCTACTGAGAAGACTCACCGTTTTCATTACAGCGCTGGATGCTTGAAGTAGTATTTGCAGGCGCATGGCAAAGCCAACAGAATAGATTCCGACCATAAGAGCGGCCATTAGGCCCTGCAAAATAAGTCACTGACACGGGTCCAGAATTACAAAGACGCACAGATTCGGCATCATATGTGAATGGGCATCTTCCGTTGTTGGTTCCGCTTTTTGGTTCGTGTCCTCCTTCAGGACCTATGCAGGGGCGTCCTGTATGATCGTCTGGTGTGCCAAAAAACAGCATGCAATCTGGTGTCAAATGGATCTTCTCCAAAACTCCGGCAACGGTGGTAGCATCTTTGAAAACTTCGATTTGGGACTTGTGACAAACAAGTCTGGGTTTCCATGCTTTGTGCGCCGTCACGTTGTGACAGGTGGCACAAAAAGAGTTTTTAAATGTGACGTTTGACTCTGCTGACGAGACGGGCAACACAACAGCTATGTCATTGGACCAGTCTTTTAACTGGCATTTTACTCGAACTTCTTCATCGTGCCAGTTGCTTGGACAAGAAGACACTACCCAGTAGTATTTACTGTAAACGCCCTCAATTTCTCTAGACCCCTGTAACCAACATTCTGTATCATTTCTATGTAGTTCAATCCCGGTGATTTTGGTCTCATTGCAAAAGCGGTCATATGGCCAACAGCAATCACCAAACACGTCACACAAGTCGTCGCAGTAGCAGGTTACGAGAACGACATCATTAGTTAACCCATCACTACGAGCAGCACAGAACGGGGTGTTTACTGTTACGTTAAGGAGCATTATTTCCTTATGAGAATACAACATGGAGGAAGTTGGAGCTAATTGTTCTAATTTCAGTGAATGGTTATATGAATGTCCTTGTAATACATGATTGGGGCTGTATTGGCGTGTGCTTCCATAGCTTACATCTGAGTTGAGGTTCGGGGCCTCTGGAGTGGAAGCAGGGAAGTTAACCTGTACATTTGGTAGTCCCTTCTTCGTTGTATGAATCTTATTGTTTGTGACCTTGTTTGTGGACGCGGCAGTAGAGACAAACATCTTATTTACATCTGCTGTGTTCGCCCTTGTGACCATAGGAGATCCACCTTTGTTGATCGTAGGTAAATTACTTCCGGTGAACGAAGGTGAGCTGCCTTTGTCGACAACGGGTGAGCCACTTTTGTTGACCATAGGTGAGTCGCTTCCGGTGATCATAGGGACGTCACTTCCGGTGATCATAGGGGAGTCACTTTCAGTAAACCTGGGAACTCTGGTGCTTTTATGCCTAGGTCGTGTTGTTGTCAGCCGCTGTTCTCGACTGCTGACAGACCTTGGGCCATTTGGAGTTGTAGACGTGACCATTGCAAAGTTGGGCAACGCCCTAGAAATTCCTGGTCTTGACGCTTCCACTGGAATTTCTTTTTCTGAATCAATCAAGGAATACCCTAACATTAACAAAAGCATAAAGACCTTCATTATTGATGTGTCTGTTTCCTCTCAGTACTCTGCTGCAGTATTTTGCGTAGTTTTAATACAGAAATGGCCGACTCACTGATTCGCTCTTACTTCAGGAATGCGGGAACTGTCGTTTTGGTTAGCTTTCGTGTTGACTTAAATTAAGATTCACGAATCTAGCCAATCAATACCATATAACTATAAAAACAACAAACACACACACGCACACTGTAAACAATTGCAAGGTATCTTTTACGTGATCCCCCCCTTTTCATAAAAATCACAATAATATGTTATCTTGTTATTAACAGGAGATCTTGCGGTATGTGACAGACAAAAGAGCAGACATTTGGGAAAATGTAAAAACTAAAGAATATCACGTTAAAATCACGTTTTCAAAATGTCCCTCTCAAATTAACAAATCCATAATGTCGTGTCACGAATAAGTTTTTCTTCAAGACAAAATGAATTTCGGAAACTTTTGCCACATTGTTCTCCCATTTCCAAAGGATAATTGTTCCAGATTTTAAGCAAACTTACTCCATTGTACGATCCGTGAACATGTATTCAATCTGACGTGGTTTCTCTTGTCACTAATCAATGACGAACAGCTGAGCCCTGCATTTTTTTTACATTTTTTCAAGGTTTTTAGTTGCTTTTTTTCGTGAAACCACATGCATAAAACGTTAGCTACAAGCTTCCAACTCATGTAGAGTAAATATCAGAGTCCACGCGGCTAGCTTTTTCTTTTTCAAATATCATAAGTTTCGACTTTTCGTTACAGCTTGTCGCGTTTACACTTTGCAAGCTCAGAAGTCAACCACTAAAACCTTTCATAAAGATTTTTTCTCCAATAATGCGTCAGTAAATCAACATTTAACCTTTTATGCCACTTTTAGCATTGGGTGAATAATCATACAAATAGTCACTTGTAATGAACACTTTTCATTTTGTTTTTTTTAACCATCAAATAACCAGAGAGACAATGCCGCTGCAAGTCCATTGACTGTTCTCTTCCACTCATGATATTTCACTTTGAGCCAACAAGACAAATATATTCAGTTCTGCAGGAATAATTATTCAACATTTACATGTTTGTTTATGATGGAATAACAATAGATGAAGTTAAAATTGTATATCTCTTTTTCAAATGGTTTTAAATCAAATCAAATAAGAAAAAATGAAGACAACGACGTTTAAGAAACAGGCATATTAATTTAATTTACAAAAATATCTTTTATGGCCCGTTATTAGTCATTTTCAAAGTCACTGTGAATCCTGCCAGACAGAAGTCTTGGATCCGGTGTAACAGGAATGGAAATCCACCAGGAACTGTAGTCTGTTCCCATTACTTTATATATTTGTCCTGCAGCACTTGGCTGCAACACATGCAATGGCAGTGATGCTGGGCTCATCTCCTCTACGTGCAGTATTGCTTATTTGACAGGATTGTACAAGGCCAAACTTGTCAATAATTTGTACATTCTTTTTAGACCAAACACAACAACAGCAATTACATCCACTTTCACATAAAATCCAATATCAACTACTTTGGGTAAGATACTCTTTCCACTTTTCATATTGCACCAACATTCCTATTTTTTCCTTTCTTTGGCGGGCACTGATTATTTCCTCTGATAAGATAATTATTTAACTTGATAATAGCCGTTTTCATTTACGTGATTAGAGCCGTGATTCTTTCTCTACTTGGTGACTTCATCTTTAATTTTTTTCTACAGGTGAGCTAAATGTTTATTTAAGTACATTTGCCTTGAAACATGGTTATTTATTTAGCTATTTGTTTTTTATTTATAAAACGGGTGTATGTATTTTATTAGTTATTTTATTGAACTTAAGTGTTTTATGCGCTGTAACATAGACTCATTCTGGACTTGGTGACTGACCATTACGGTCGTACAAATATCTTTTTCCCCTTCTGCATGTGAAATAAAATACTACACAGTTGGGTGTTTTTATCAATAGAAGCAATCTGTGACACGAGGTTTTAACGTGATTACATGTATACCTACATGGTAGTGACTTGATGTTATCGTGGTTATACTTATATCCATGTATATGGATGTCTATGTCTATATATTGATGAGTTCATAGTCAGAAATTATGAAACATACTTTGCAAATGTGGGACTTAAAATAAAAGGTTTCGGTCAATATATACATGTGGTTGTTTGCGTGTGACTTTATGTTGGCATTAAAAGGGAAGTTTTTCTACTAAGTTATAAAGGCAGAGATCTCTTAAATATTATTTGTTTTCATTTCTTCTCTCATTGAAAAATATATCTATGTTATTGTATTTATTGATTCATTTACTGTACTTCATTTAGCTTTTTTCAAAACATTAAAATACGGCGGTAAAGATAAAAACTTAAACGCTTTTAAAAACAAACAAATAAAAATTCATAGTAACGAGAAAATTACTCGAAGAGCGAAAAAAAAAAAAAAAAACTCAATTCTTATTACTATTGAATATTCACTTATCAAACCAGTCAAATTTGAGTGAAGTTTGCAAGAAGATTTTGCAGCCTTCAAATTCAGAACAGTACAACATTTGCACGGTGCTAGTCGTCCGATTGCAGTGGGCGGAGGTTGTATAATTAGATTTACATTCCCACGTTACATCTGCCTCTACTGAGTATTAAATGTTCATTAGAAACCAGACGGGCAGTGCTATTGGAGCCTGCGTGACAGGACAGATACAGAAAATACACACAAACGGACCCTGTGCAATGGCGCACTATAAATAAGGTGTTCGTTGGTAAATCACTTTTTAATGAGTTGTTTTGTGGCCTATCTCATTTCATCAAAACCCACCCATACGTTTTAAGTTAGGCTAGTGGTTTTTAAAGACCGAAAATCCGACTCCTCTACCTTTGACTTGGGTACCACGAACCAGGTCGATTGTATGTAAGTATAGTATTACCCACTGCAAGATTGAAGTTTTGGAGGATTCATCAGAGAGTGGAATTATAAACCATTTAAAGTAATCAAAGTGCAGAATAACCGTATATACTTGTTGGGCTTCAATTCGTACGGCGTTAATATTTACTTTTCATTGCCGCCGACTAATACATTATCAAACATTCTTTACAGCTTCACTTTTTATCCGGCAGTGTTACGGCATGCTCCGCACCTATCGACACGTATGCGGCTGGCTATAAAAATCTCCCACAGCTAAGATGGCGAGTAACAAAGTTCTCGGGGCTGCTTGTTTCTGCATTTTGGTACAGATACAAGTGGTTTTGTGTACAGACACTCCTGTGGTCAGAACAAACCTGGGGAGGATTGTTGGAGACAGGGTACAGGTGGATACTGGTGCCAGTAAGTTGACAATTGAACCCGTTAGTTAACTTTTATTTCGTACTGTGGATGTGTTTCTCCAACAATGACGTCGACTGAGGAAAATGGTTGGGGGTACAAGTATGCATGCTGTGTGGGTCCATACAAGTAAAACAACTAAAAAGCTTAGATTGAGCGTTTTAAAGAATGAGAGAGAGAGAGAGAGAGAGAGAGAAAGAGGGGGTAGGGGTAGACAAAAAGAATCCCCCCTTACGCGCACATGAAAGAAATACTGCTAGGAATATTCACACTCCGTCGTTTAACAGCAAGTGAATGAAAAAAGGTTAACTCTCAAAAAGTTAAACATGCCAGGAGAGGATTTTCTGCTTTCCCTAAACACCATGTGTCTAATTGTAACACAGAGTGCAAAGTAGAGGCGCGGTCTATGGTTTTATGTCTGGCACGTTAAGCCATCTGGCATCAGAAACTGGCGATCAAATTGCTCTTGCGCCGTTATACAAATAATGAACACGCTTATACCGGTATATGACTGCATTGATATAACAAAAATATCTTACCCTTTTCACTGCTTATTATTAATGTCTCGTTTTTTATTAATGTGCGCGCGTGTGTGTTAGTCGGCTGTATGTGCGTGTGTGTATAAACAGAACCGACTTACTTCGGGGTAATACAATATAATTTTATATCATATTTTCACGGTCTGAATTAACCTATATTATTATCTATTTTTGTGTGGATTGTTGCTCATAAGTTTCTTATGAATAATTCATACGTATACATTTGTATATTAGCATGGTAATATACTCCCCTACCAAAAATAGTGTCACCCCTAGCGTATTTATTGGCACTGCTTCAAGGGTTCCTATAATTTTAATTTTACTACTGCATAACAACTATGCAACCAATCGTCCTGTGAAATGAGACGATTTTGAAAATTGAACTGCCTAGCTTAAGCATTGAAATATCCCAAACCAATTAAATTTTATCCTAAATTATTGGCGAAGACTATAATTTAATTTATAGTCCAATGTACTTCGGGATTCTCCCTCGCTAGAGCAGTAGCACACGTGGTCGTCAGGCATATCGTCGCTACTCAGCTCATCGCGAGCAATCATTACAACACTCGGGGTATCACTGACCAATCGCGGGTCATCTCCTTAAACCTTAATTACAACGTGTCCACCATATTTGGCGAGCATCAGATCATTACAAGCAACCGGACCTCAGAGTCACAGACAGAGCACAAGGATATCACCTCAAGATAACACGCCACAACATACGATCGGCAAAGGGTAAGAAACTTTATTTTAACCCACCATCCGTCCTTTTACGTCAGCATCTTTATTTCCTATATCTATTATATCTGCTACTCTGCTAAACATCCATCTCACATTTAGCTTCTTTATTAACCCCACCTTCAATTATTGCCAACCTCGCTGAAGTATCCACCTCATTATTTTACCAATTTTTTGCGCCGCTCGGTTTCAAGGTGTTACTGCTCCAGCAACACAGGGTGACTACCGTTTACCAATTATTGAATTAGGCAAATTATTTCTTTCTCTCCTTTTACATAGCAACTGTAAAATATGCATCTCTTGAGTGAGAGGGATACTTTTTTACCAAGCGGTTGACATAAAAGGGAGTTTTGACCCGCCGAATTGCCAGAAGGTTGGGTTGTTCCATGAAATCACATTCAGAGGGTTAGACAACATCATTAACAAACAGGCATACGGGAAAATTGCCTGAATGAGGCCGACCAAAGGAAACTACCCCAGAGAAGAGAAAATGACTTCTTCTTTTAAAAAAAAATAATAAAAAATAAAATAAAAAAACGTTTCATGATATTTCTGAGTTTGACTGCAACTTTCAACAAGAACAGGGGACACCAAGTTTCTGAGCTTACTGTCAGAAGACGTCTGCACAATCGCCTCTTTATTTTTGCAGAGTTTTTTGGAGACCAGGAATCACCGCCAGGAACTGTCTACTTCGAGTCAGATGGTTTACTGGAACTCTGGCCTATATCTGTGAAATGATATTGTTGTCAAAAGCAAGAAAGCTCAGTGCTTCCAGACGCGAAAAGGTTTGGAGAACAGCTGGTAAAAAGTATATTGCCAAATTTCTGCCTCTGGTCGACAGGACACACCCAACATAGGTCAGGCATGGGGTGATTTGGCTACTGTAGTGTGTGGTGTATGCAGTAGCCAACGAGAACCTAAACACAGGTCCATGCATCCAAGTAATGGAAAATAAACTTAAGGAAATCTGTCAAAAATAAATTTGGAACATGATCACCCTTTTTCGTTTCAGCATGGTGATAGAACTCCACGTACAGTCAATGCAACAGTAGGCTGGTTATGAACGAACCAGATCCAGACACCCCCCCGGCTCATTCAGTAGATTACCTCTTTAAGAATGTGTAGATCTATGATATCCGCAAAATGGATGACTGAGGGATAATTCTGCAAACAAAAATTACCCCATATATATTCTCTTTGCACCGTACGTAGAACGCCGTCACTGTGCACACTTAACAGAAAATTTTGATTCTACGCACAGACGCAACGGATGCGTCCTCAAATCCAGAGGATAGTGTACACAATTCTAAAATATGGCTTTGATTTTTTAATAGATAAGTTAATTATTTTGTGATACAATCAATTTTTTTTTTTTTGGAAAAAATCCTTTTAGATGTTGAATAAAGAACATAAGAGAATAAAGACATGAGTTTCTGTATAACTTTACGCATTGTTTGAGGGGTGAAACTTTTTTGGTAGGGAAGTATAGTACCACTTTTCTTTCTCGTTATTGAAGGACATTTTCTGTTGTGGAATAAAATACTTTTAACTTCCTGCGATAACTTGTGCACTGAAAATGTGCGTGTGGGTGTGCCTATGTGTATGTGTGTGTTTTGCCACGTGCGCGCACGAATGGAGTGGAATGTGTCGGGTGAGCTACGGTTAAAAAGGAAATGACGGTCTTTTAAAATACTCAAATCATCTGTAGTGCAATTAACATTCATAATAATTTCCTGAAATTTTCTTCTATAGGCATGGGAATAGTTGATCGCTTCCTTGGGATACCATATGCAAAACCCCCAGTTGGGAGACTTCGATTTGCCAATCCCGAGCAACATCCCGGATGGGGAGAAAGCATTCGACAAGCGAAACAATTCGGCCCCCACTGCCCGCAGCCTGACAGCTATATTTCCACCTACGTCAACCTAGGACGAACAATCACCGACATTAGACGGGACGAAGATTGCCTGTTTTTGAACGTGTTCGTGCCACGTGGTGTTGACGTTCTACGTCAGATGGGCGTTCCCCTGGCGATTCTTATCAATTTTCACAGCGGTGCGTTCGTAGCAGGAACAGGTGCGACTTTTAATGGAGATATCCTTGCACTCGAGTGTGATGTCGTCCTCGTCTCTATAAACTACAGACTGGGTTTTCTGGGGTTCTTCAGCACAGGGACTGACGAGGCCAGAGGAAATTACGGCCTGTATGACCAGCACTGGGCTATTTAATGGGTACGGGAGAATGCTGAAGCATTTGGCGGAGACCCTGATCGTATAACTCTAATTGGTGATTCGGCAGGAGGAGTGTCGGTGGATTATCAGATGATCTCTCCATTAAACCGTGGTTTGATACAGGGAGGGATATCAGTAAGTGGGTCGAGCTTGGCGTCTTGGTCTCTGACCGAGTCTTTGAACGTCAGTTTAGAGTTTTCAAAAATGGCCGGATGTGATATGCCTCAACCAAGAGCAAGACTCCGCTGTCTCCGCAATAAGGACGCTCAGGAATTGGCAGAAATAAGGGAAGAAGGTTTACGTGCAGCACTTGACTGGAGACCAAGTATTGATGGAGTATTTATACCAAAACACCCACGAGAACTACTGGGAGAAAACGTGACATCCGGGCTTCGATATATGGTAGGTGCTACCTCCCATGACGGAAGCATCTTCACACTTCCTTTAGCAGGGAATCCCCCTACTGTTGCCCAGCAACGCTTCATTCTCGAAACTTATGCATCACTGCTATATCAGTTTAAGATGGAAAGTGCAGAAGTCGCTGTTGCTAGGTCTTCTCTTAATGAATACGGTCTCATTCAAGACCCCATGGATCCTTTGGATATTCTGACTCGGGCGGTGCAGCTAATCACTGACCTTTTCTATGGAATGCCAGCAGAGGAGTCGGCAAGATTGAACGCAGCCGGAGGTACCAAAACGTATAGATACCAATTGTCAGTCCGTCTTGGCTATCCACCTTCTTTCTTACCAAAGGCTGCTTTTGTAGGAGCTGAACATTATGATACAGCCATTTTGTACTATGGCGTGTTTGAACAGCATCCGGATGTATATAACTTGACAGCTGAGGAATTGGAGCTTGGAAGAAACATCAGGCGCTACATAGCCAACTTTGCCAAAAATGGGTGAGGGTCAGATAACATACGATGATTTTACTATAATGAAAAACCTGGAGATATATGTAAATACGTGATGCCTATTAGGATTCAATGGCCCAAATGTCCATAAGTAGTTGTTAAAATTATTTGAATTTACCTTCTTAAAAAAAAAAAAAAAAAAAAAAAAAAACATTACAAGTATGCCGTTACTGCAACGTCAGAAAGCTCATTCTCAACATTTTTAAAATTCCACTGTTTTGCTAATCAGTCATCACTCTCCTCCTTTCAGTGACCCAAATGTTGGATACGCGGTCAGCGTCCAGTGGNTACCTTCTTAAAAAAAAAAAAAAAAAAAAAAAAAAACATTACAAGTATGCCGTTACTGCAACGTCAGAAAGCTCATTCTCAACATTTTTAAAATTCCACTGTTTTGCTAATCAGTCATCACTCTCCTCCTTTCAGTGACCCAAATGTTGGATACGCGGTCAGCGTCCAGTGGCCAGTCTATACAGCGTCTTCCAGACAATTCATCAATCTAGACATACCCACCACCATAGAAACATTCGATAGGGAGCGCCAGTATCTGTTTGCAACCGAGGTACTTCCGGCCATAGTGAGAGTGGGTAAAGAGGCTGACACGGTGGACACACGACCTCGTCAATCCCAACCATGCTCTAGGGGAATTTGGAGAACATATCGGACACCCAGTGTCCTCAGTCGTTGGTATTTCAAGCGGTTGATGAGGAATGGTTAGATATAAGTATGATCACACACGGCATTTCTGCGTAGTGCATGTTTGGGCATAAGTTGAAATAAGTTGAAATATGTCTATGTAGTAGTAATTAATAGTTCATATATCTGTGCCCTGACTTTTATCATGACTATTATTACACGATTTTGCCTTGATATTATTAATATCGATAATTATCGACATTATGCCCTGATCCAATATATATTATATTGGTTATGCCCAGGTGCCATTATGTGCGCTGCTATGTCTATATGTATTGATGGGTCCAAGGTCAAATATTATAAAACTTATGTATACTGCAAATGTGGGATTTTAAATAAAAGGTATTGGTCAATATATGAGTAGTTTTTTGTGCCGTTATCTTATGTTGACATTAAAAGAGAAGTTGTTCTACGCAAGATAAAAAGGTTTTCGTTTCTTTTCTTCTTTAAAAAAATTATCTGTCATTGTATTTCTTGATTTATTTTCTGTAACTCATTTAGCTTGTTTCAAAAAAAAAAAAAAATTAAATGAGACAGTAAAGATGAAAACTTTAATGCTTTCAAAAACAAACAAAAAATATTAACGAGAAAAGTACTCAGACAAGGAAATACAAATCTCTTTACTATTATTTATTTATTAATCAACCCATACATACAGAGTCAAGTTATTTACCTGATGCTTAGTGGCATAAAAAATTTAATAAGACAGTAAAGATGAAAACTTTAATGCTTTCAAAAACAAATGAAAAACAGCGAGAACAGTACTCAGATAGAGCAGACAAGGAAATTCAAATCTCTTTACTATTATTTATTTATTAATCAACCCATATATACAGAGTCAAGTTATTTAAATGATGCTTAGTGGCATACCGATGGGAAAGTCGTCTCAGCACAATAAAAAATAAATTGCAGCAAATTTTCGCCAAGGTTGCAAGAAGTTTCTGCATTCCTTCCACATGTAGAATAGTATCGTGTGAATCATGTGCAGAAGGGAGTAGTATAATGGGATAAATTTAAATTAATCACGTTGCATCGGCCTCGATTGAGTAGTAAATATTCATGAGAAACAGAGGGGCGGAGCTAATGACGCATGCGTGACAGGACAGAAATAGAAAATAAACACAAACACGCTATAAAGATATAAATTGGGTGCACTGTGACACGGATCACTACCAAACTTCAATCACTTCTTAGGTAGCTTATTAATCGCCTATCTTGGACATTTCATCAAAACCCATCTTTAAGTTTTTGACTTAGGCTGGTGATGAACGAATAAACAAACAAACGGAGGCAACATAGCCCCCTAGATGGATGTTATAATGAGGAGTGGACCAAGGAGTGGCACCTTGTATTATTAAAGCCTTTGGCGAAAACCACTGGATCCTTTTTTTGTCCCTTGATAGGGCCTTTTCAGGTTTCATGTCCACGGCTTCAATTACTGTTGGGGAAATTATCGAAATTATAAAAACACGAACGTTTATAAATACGACCAGAACCAATTTTCTGGCCAATGTTTCTGTGTAGGCAAACCAACAACAGGCCTACCCAACTGGTAGATCGGACAACACTACTCGTTTTCAAAGTGTGTCAGTACGCATTTAAGAGTATTATACTACGGAAAAAATTTTTAAGATGAATTGCAAGTTACCTTCAAACCCCGAACGCGCACTGACACAGACCTTTTCTTTGGAATGCCAGCGGAAGAGTCACAACGTGTAAATACACATTATCTCTCCGACTTGGCTATCCATCTTCTTACTTACCTAAGGCTGATTTCCTACGAGCTGAACAATTTGAAACCTGCATTCTGTATTTTGGTGTTTTTGAACAGCACCCGGATGTATATAATTTGGCAGCTGAGGAACTGGAACTTGGAAGAATCATCAGGCGGTATATAGCTAACTTTGTAAAAAATGGGTAAGGGCTCCATAACACACGATTCAATGTCGGAGATATTTTACTGCAATTCAAAAACTTTAATTTTCAACATTAAATTGTTAATGGTAAATGGAAATAGCACCAATGTCCATCAACTGTCATTGAAGTAATCTGGAAAAAACGAAGAAAAGTATGTATGATNTGCTCATTATCAATATCCAATTTTATTGTTTTGTTAATCAGTTCAGGGCCGTAGCCTCCGGGGGGGCAGGGGGGGGGGGCAGCTGCCCCCCCTGGAATTTGGAATTTTACACACCACACCCTCCCCCCTCGGTAGCTTCGCCCCCTCGTGTCCGCTTACTGCCCCCCCCTGGCATTTTGCTCAGGCTACGGCCCTGCAGTTAGCACTTTCGTCTCCTTTCAGTAACCCAAATGTTGGTGACCCAGTCAGCGTCCAGTGGCCGGAATATGAAGCGTCTTCCGGACAATTCATCAACCTGGACACACCCACCACCGTGGAAACATTCGAAAGTGAGCGCCAGTATCTGTTTGGACTGAAAAACTCCCGGCAATGGTTACACTGGGTAAAGAGGCTGGCACAGTTGTCGCACGTTTCGTCAATCCCAACCAAGCTCTAGGGCAGTTTAGTTGAAGATATTGGACACCTAGTGTCCTCAGTCGTCGCAATTTGATGAGAAATGCTAGTTATTTGTATGGAGATAATGCACATGCATGTAGTGCGTGTTTGGATATAAGCGTGGTTTAAGCGGGACTACGGAACCGTTCACATGATCAATCCGAATTCCAAAAATCCAAAAATCCTTTGGCGGTATCTAGTGATCACGGTCTGTGCCCTAAATACCCCGCGGCGTAATTAACTTGCAGTGCGAGCGAGTTACTTCCAAAGCTGTAATTAATTCTCGACTGCGCCCGGAGAAGATTCTGGCACCTTGACGCATGCGCATGATTAACTTAGAGAGAAAGAAAATGTCGGTCGCGGTTGCTTTGATAAATGTGCTTGTCGACTTTGTGCAACAACAAGAGGAAAAAGATGAGGTCCATATGCATACGATACCCTAAGTAGGTTCTACATTTCCGCATTGCCAGCTCGATCTTGTTTTCAACTCATATCAGCAATACGAGGTCGTCCTTGGCAAAGGAAAAATTTCCCTGGGGCGCTTCCATATTTGGAAGTCAGAAGTTGCGTGCGCCACAGCTTTGACTGCCTGGAGCTGCCTTTTCCGCCTTGCGCTGAGCAAGCAAAAACACTGGATATACCTTTGTATACTGTCGTAGTTCCTCAGGGGCTACTGTTGAAGCCAGTGAACAGCGCTTGGAAAAAAGAAATATTAGTCCCCTGAGAAAAACCAAAATGTTTGCAGCAAATTTGAACCAAGTTTGCAGTGAGGGGGGGGGGGNCCAGTATCTGTTTGGACTGAAAAACTTCCGGCAATGGTTACACTGGGTAAAAAGGCTGGCACAGTTGTCGCACATTTCGTCAATCCCAACCAAGCTCTAGGGCAGTTTAGTTGAAGATATTGGACACCTAGTGTCCTCAGTCGTCGCAATTTGATGAGAAATGCTAGTTATTTGTATGGAGATAATGCACATGCATGTAGTGCGTGTTTGGATATAAGCGTGGTTTTAGCGGGACTACGGAACCGTTCACATGATCAATCCGAATTCCAAAAATCCAAAAATCCTTTGGCGGTATCTAGTGATCACGGTCTGTGCCCTAAATACCCCGCGGCGTAATTAACTTGCAGTGCGAGCGAGTTACTTCCAAAGCTGTAATTAATTCTCGACTGCGCCCGGAGAAGATTCTGGCACCTTGACGCATGCGCATGATTAACTTAGAGAGAAAGAAAATGTCGGTCGCGGTTGCTTTGATAAATGTGCTTGTCGACTTTGTGCAACAACAAGAGGAAAAAGATGAGGTCCATATGCACACGATACCCTAGGTTCTACATTTCCGCATTGCCAGCTCGATCTTGTTTTCAACTCATATCAGCAATACGAGGTCGTCCTTGGCAAAGGAAAAATTTCCCTGGGGCGCTTCCATATTTGGAAGTCAGAAGGTGTGTGCGCCACAGCTTTGACCGCCTGGAGCTGCCTTTTCCCCCGCACGAAAATGCAGTAGAATCGAAGTAGCAAAGAAGCATTAACGCAGTAGTGGTGTGGAGCATATTTGCAGTAGAAATGCAGTATACCCTACTGCAATTCTACTTCAAAAATTACATAGGGTTGTACAGAGGAGGAGCATTAATGCAGTAGATTAGCAGCATGATAGAAGCATGTTTCAAATATGCTAATTAGCTCCCAATGCGAAGCAGATTTGAGGCATATTTGCAGTATGATTGCAGTAGTCTACTGCGCTGGAGCATCTACTGCGTTTTCGTGCGGGCCGCCTTGCGCTGAGCAAGCAAAAACACTGGATATACCTTTGTATACTGTCGTAGTTCCTCAGGGGCTACTGTTGAAGCCAGTGAACAGCGCTTGGAAAAAAGAAATATTAGTCCCCTGAGAAAAACCAAAATGTTTGCAGCAAATTTGAACCAAGTTTGCAGTGGGGGGGAGGGGCGGAAGATAAGTAGAATATTTTTAATTAATCATGTGAAACCAGCATGCGTGAAAGGAAAGACATAAAATATACTGTACTCAGAGGAACCCTGTGCCAAGACACGCTATAAAGATATTAATGGGGTGTAAGGTGATGCAGTTGATAATCATGCATAATCACTTTTCAGTGAGCATATTTATGACCTTTATTGGGCATTTCATCAAGACCCATCTATAACGTTTTGAGTTCGGATGGTGATGAACTAACAAACAAACAAGCGATGGTGAAAATATAACAAAACAAACGGAGGTGAAAAAGTGATGGACAGTCAAATAGTGAGGATATTTTTGGTGTGGCACCCTGTATTATTAAAGCCTCTGAATAAAAAACTGTATCCCCCTCCTTCTTGTCCCTTTGAAAGGGTGGAGCTGCTTGAATTTGCAAGCCCACCACTATTCCTACTCTTGGGGAGAGCCGAAAATATGATTGTAGTAAGATGTCGATAATTGGTTCGCTGACCAATGTTTCTTTGTTACCATAGGGAAAGGTTTTCAGGCATAATCCAACACCACAGCCGAACATTG